GTAGGGACAATATCGACCCTGGCAAAAAGTGGTGGGGACATGTCCCACCCGTCCCACCGGCAAATTACGCCTATGGTGTCAATGCATTTAAGAATTTAAATCACCATTTTTGCTACCATTTTGCTGCACATTTGGCTCAGACTGCATTTTGAAATTCACACTGCATTTAGCTACAATTATCACGCGGTATCACGATGAAGATGCAATTCCATGTGTCCTACCCCTAAGTCTAAATGCATTTAGGGAAAATGGCATTTAAATTATAATTTTGCTACAGTTTTTGCTTGGATATGTTAAACATATCTAATCAATTTGGGTAATACAATTTCATTTTAATTTTGCAACTTATAAAGCATTAAAATAGGTTTTTAATTTACATATTAAATCTAGTGTAGGTAATGGCAAATGTAAATTATATAATTGAATTTTCATTTTGCACTAAATGTTGCAAATATGTATGGGTAAATGTACATTTAAATAAAGAAATACATTGCCATTTTACATATTGCATTGTCATTTTGCATATTACATTTCAAAATGAATTTTGCTACCCATATGCTTCCATATTTTTCAGGGGTAGGGTTGCAGACCTCGGTTCTATTAGGTGTTATTACATGCCAGGATATGAGAAATTTTGTCAACATGGCATTTCACTCTCCTCGTTGCATTTATCCATTTCACCTGTGCCAGAAAAAAAATGTGCCAGAAGATCAGGATTGTTTTTTTGTTTGTTTTGTTTTTTCTGTGATAAATTGAATAAAATTTAAAATATATGGTCTCTCTTCTCTTCCCCTCTTAGACGTCTCAGCCAAGCACTGGCGGTCAGTCTTCATGCAGCAGTGACCAGTCCACCGGCGGCCCCCATATCGGCCGTGGAGTCCAGCTTGCTGTGAAAAGCATTGGGCTTGCGGGGGAGGAGGCAGTGATTGAGGACCAGGAAAATGAAGAGAAGGAGGAGGAAGGAGAGGGAGAGGAGGAGGATGCCCCCATTATGGACTCTACAGTATCCACTGCAACAACCACAGCGGCAACACTAGCTTTTCAGACTCGTCGAAGTGTAGGACGGCCTCTACGCTGGATGGAGCATGTTAAGATGGAGAGGTTAAGGCAGGTGAATGGAGCTGTGCCTAGGCTAGGACATATGTCCCCAACACCACCCCCTAAAGGCCAGGCCCTGCCTGCCCTCACAGGAAAGGGTAAGTCTGAGGGTGTACTTACACTAGGCAATCTGAACCATACCCGAGCACGTTTGACCCCCAAAGTCCAGTTCATTTAACTAGTGTTCCCTGGCCCGCTTGAAGAGGTGGGCTCAGACACGGTTCATATAGTATGAGCGCTAACAATGCCGAGACATATGACACCAATTATGTGGCTGTTCCATTTAACCAACATCTCTTAATAAATCTATCAACAAAGATTTTTTAAACAACATATTATGCATGTGAGAGGACCGTGTGTCACCACACCCCAAATGGCTCAAAATAATAAGCTACAGAGTTAACATTTCTTATGTATTCTGTTATGCTGAGTGAGAGTGCTTTTGATCCTGTTTTCTCCAAAACAGTTGCATCATAAAGACATGCTCAGGCCCGGAACATTAAAGTGCAATATGAATGCAGCAGGGGAGTGGGGAGGGGGTACAATCATGTTTGGGCATGGTACAATACACCTGTGCCGAGTGCAAGTACATCCTTACTTTCAGAGCTTTCTCAATATACTGAAATTTACACATTTAAAGGGTTAGGTCACCCAAACATGAAAATTAAGTCATTATTTACTCAACCTTACGTTGTTTTAATGCTGTACAGCCTTCTTATTCAGACCTTAAAAGTAGAAATCAGGACAGTTTTGAGGAAATCATGATTAATAAGACGTGACACAAAATAAAATCCATGTACTTTATTTCTTGATTTTTTCATTTACAGTTTCATTTCTGGATAAACTTACCCATTAATGTCTAATTATGACTATAATTGCATCGTAATAATAACATTAACCTCACCTAATAAGAGTATTTCTCATGATTAGGTTCATGCCTTGGTAGGAGTAGTTCTGTGGGGGTTCCCCAGCCTCCTCCATGTCTTGAGCCGTCCAACACAGAGCTGACGGTGTTAAATTTGCTGCGTGAACGCCGGGACAGCAGTGGCAGCAACACCAGCTCGGCCTACCTGAGCAGCAGTCGTCGATCCTCTGGCATCTCCCCCTGCTTCTCCAGCCGCCGTTCTAGCCAGGCCTCGCAGTCTGAGCACAACCACCATCGGCATATTCACAATCTCAGTGCCACTGACTCTTATGACCCTATCTCCACTGATGCCTCACGACGCTCCAGTGAAGCCAGCCAATGTGGAGGTGGAGGAAGTTCAGGTGGGATGGTGTACAGTGGAAGTGAAGGTACTGGAGGAAGTGGGATGGAGGCAAGAGGTGTTCTCAACCTCACTCCAGCTCAACACTATCACCTGAAGGCCAAATATGCCGCTGCTACAGGTGGGCCTCCTCCCACACCCTTGCCAAATATGGAGCACATGAGCCTAAAGACTCGTCTGGCTTTGATGGAAGATAAACAGAACATGGGCCAACTTACACTACCACCACTGGTCAGGCCACGTCGCTGTAGTGATGGTATGCACAATTTACATGGCAGTCAAGCAGTGTATCAACGAAGGGGATTGTACCCTGTTGAAGGTCCAGGGAATAGTGATCGAAGAGCCAGTGACCCTGTGCGTAAACGGGATACGAGTGCTTTTGGTTTGCCACAGTTACAGCGTTTCAGCAGTTTAAACAACATGAATTCATTACCCCATATTGCTGGTAATCATTCTTTAGATGGAGAAAATAACAGTCTGAGCTTCCAGAACTACATCTTTCAGAGAAGTCTACACTCGCCTTGCCCTCCCAGCATCATGGAGCAATCAGCACTTGAGGACTTGGCAATGGACCAAGATGGTCTTCTGTTACATGTTGATGAAGACATTCTGCCAGATGACTTGGTGCAGTATCTTCATTCCCAAGATCAAGAATCGGATCACAACCAAGACAACCATAGCAGTGATTCCAGTGCCCATAGATCCAGTTTTGACCAGGGTACTGCAGATGTCCAGAACTTCCTCAACCCACAACAGCAACAGGAGGAGATAGAAGGGGAAATCACTAGTAAAGATATAATGCCTATCCAGTGGAATGAAGTGACCTCTGGTAGTGCTGATGTTTCTCCTCCCAGGCAGCAGTCTCAGAGGTGCAGAAGATGGTCAGACCAGAGTGGCATAGTGAGCAATGCCTTTGGTCGCTTTGGAAACATGGTTGTGCAGCAACAACTGCATACAGAGTTCATGGATCAACACTCAACTCTTTGGAGAGATGGTGTCGAACACATGGCAGGTATGAACTACAGATGCATACATCCAGAGCAGCATCAACAAATTGCAAAGCCATCCCAACAACAGCCCAGGACAAATCCAGGCATTAAGAATGAGTCTTCTTCAAACTCCAAACTGGAATCAAGGCCCAACAACTTTGGTCGACCAGACTTCTCTTATATCTCTTTGGGCCCCCTCCATCCTAGCTGTACCCAGCAGACAACTATATCCCAAAATAACCTTGAGCAAAATCAAACAATAACACATCAATTCAGCAGCAACCTTTCGTTGCAAAGACCAGCTAACTGCAGCTTGTCTCCGGCAACACTACTGCCTCACCAGGCCCAAAATCCTATGACTCACCCACCTGTCAATAGTGGCCATAGAGGCTTATATCACACACAACCCTACTTCATTCAGCAGGTTATCAATGGTCATAATGCACATTCATGCCAGCAGCAAAGCTTGAGAAATGGAAATGGAACCAATTGCTCTCTTGCAAATCAGGTTTCAGGACTTAAGCTTGAGGCAGAGGATTACCTTCAAACCAACACTTGCTCTTCTATCCAGCGACAAAAGCCTGTGTTTATTGCTAAGTGTTTTGACACGTCAGAGTCCAAAACTTCATCTTCTCATGATACAGGACAGTCATGTTTAATGGAGTCCTTGACAGCTGAGACAGAAACACCTTCTGAGGCCCTTCTGTCCCCTGGGGTTGATCAGGTGACCAGTACAGTAGAAGAAAGCCTTGGTGTCTTAGATAATGTCGGTTTAGATATTTGTTCCATCCTTGAGGATGGTTATGAGCAGGGTAGTGTGGTGTCTGACATAATCAGTCCCAGTTTTTTCCAGGGTCTGTCTAGAACTTCCTCTCGGCTGACTACTCCCCGTGTTTCAGCTTCATTTCATCCAGGCACTAACAACATGGCTATTGGTGACATGAGCTCACTTCTTACCACCCTCGCAGAAGAGAGCAAATTTCTGGCTATTATGCAGTAATCTGTGCACTCCCCCTCCAAAAAATTGTTACGCTGTTATAGATAAGACAAATTTAACAGACTTGTGTATGTAATGTAAAGATGTGGGATGAGAAAGAAAGTTATTGCTTTATATTTATTAAAATAGTTTATTAGGTGATGTTGACAAAGTGTTGGTACACAATCTTGAATCTGTCTTATCTTCCTAGAGGCAGTGACCAATAAATCCATTCCATTTCTGGAATAGAGGCTATTTTAAAAGCCCTTCTTTTATATCGTTATATGATGATGCAGATGGATTCACTGGTCTTCTTTTCATCACATTGAAACAGTATTCTCTGTGTTGTTGTTGATATTTTTATGTTTTGTTGTACATTGTAGCTAGAAGTGCATGATAATTTTCTTATTAAGTGTACACAGTGTTCACTAAACTGAGTAGGTTAACTCATTGTATTATGTATCTTTGTTGTTGAGTGCATTGCATACTACAAAAATGGTGTGAATATGCACAGACTTAACTGTCATCATGTCAAAACAGGGTGGAATATCACTCTTAACAGGCCCAAGTGTCATATTTTGATTATTCTAAATGTCTTTTTAAGTGTCTTATATCAGAGATGTTGCAGTGATTATAATATAAGTCTTACCAAATGTTGTTGACCAATTTTTCCCAACATGGCAATTAAGAGGGACCACTTTGTTGTGTAAGGGTATGACAAGTTGACAAGTGTAGAGCAAAATGCTAGAGCTGATCACTTAATATCTCGATTATATTGACTGTATCCTTGTAAATAAATGTTAATATTTTTCTTCATTTTTTTATTTTGCAAAAATTTACATTTTGCATAATTTTGATCATATTGTTAATGACTGGTGCTGCTGTTAAGCAATGCATTACATGACAAAAAAAAAAAAAAGCGTGATCATTTTAGTCAATCTCAACATGTTGCTTATTGCACAAGTCAGTTTTTTAATTTGTGGCCAAAATGTGTTAAAAGCAATGGTATCAATGTTTAAATTTATCTAAATATCTGGAATATCTGTAATATTATTTGTTATCTTGTTTACAACAGTCAGTTGTGTGCTGTTTTTGTCACAGCAGTGCAGTGAATTTGTAGTGAGATCTCATTTATGCCGTGGCTTTTTAGATCAACCTGTCTTTGCTTATCTATTAAAAAACCTCTACCTTCCTCACTTCTGAATTAGGACATTTATAAACACCAAGACGCAACAAGCTCCACTACAGGAGCTAATAGACTTTTTAGCAGTATTAAAAATATCCTGCAGTTTCTGCCTGCATATGTATAGTTTTTAAAGGTGTACTCTCGTAATTAGGTTCTGTTTGTTTTTGTATGGTTATTTGAACATTTTCTGTAGTTGTGTATTGGCATCTTTGTTTAGTTTTGAACACAGAAGTGGTATGACCTATTCCTCTTTAAAAGGACTAGAGGCTTTGAGCCTAAGGTATGTGCCTTATTAATGCTTGTCCATACAAAAGAGACACTGCCATTTTCTTCTTCTTCTTCTTCTTCTTCTTCTTCCTTTTATGTTTCTTTTTTAAGGAATTAAAGAGAAAAAAATGTGTATGGAAAGAGTCCTATGACTTCACATGTTATATGGAACACTACATTCTGTTGGTTGGGCATTGAGAAATGTGATGTGTAAGCAATGTTAGTTGCTTTGTTGTTGTTTTTAATAGTTATTACATTTGTTTTTATGCTTGTAAATACATATTCATTCTGTAGACTTTAGTTAAGAGTTTAGGTGGCATCAGGGGTCAGAATTAGTATAAATATCCTACTCTATTAAGCAGGAATCCCTGTGCCCTGTCTTACATTCAAACAGGTGTTCAAAATAGAATCACGGTGCCTAGCACCCTTAGACTGGGAACAGAGTCTGAATTCTCTTTTTTTATATCATATTAAAACAAATGTTTGTATGGTTTTAATAAAAAAATAAATTTAAAATAAATGCAACAGTTGTCTTTGCTGGTGAGTATTTGCTATTGATGTACTGTATAAGAAGAGGAAGTTACAGTAAAATACAATATCAGTAGGTGATACTAAACAGTGCTTTAATGCAACATATACGATTATCTTATCTGTGTGCAATATTTAATCTGGCTGTTCATAATGCAATACTATTTTCTCTGCTCTGAGCTGAGTTAATGCTTCACATCAGTTCTAACATATTAGTGTGTTGTGCAGTAGATAAGCTATATGATTCTGAAGAGACTCTTGATCACATAAATACCTAAGAAAGCTTTTGAAACATTCTTATTTAAATGCATACATCACAATGACTCTAGTTAATGTTTGCATTTGTACACAATCTTGGACTGATACTGCAGAGGAAATTTAAAATCATGTTGTTCTGAATGTTATGATATTTTGAATAGTGTAACTGCAATTTTTTTACCACAGGTAAATTAATTGACTTTAGTGTCAGTGACGTTAGTGACTTTACAGATAATGATATTTGTTATGAAAGTCAGTGTTTAAACACATTAAGAAACTTTTAAAGCAGTGTTCAAATTATGTCAAAGCTCTTAGGGGGTCCCCCCTTCAAAAATAAATAAATAAAAACTATAGCCCTTTTAATATTTCTCAACAAAAATCAATGTAATAGCAAATTTAGCACATTTCTTTTAATCTCTCTCTTGTCATATTGTTATTTTTGGGTTTGTTTAAATTAAATATGATATTTTTTTCATCTTGTCCTTGTTATCTTTGAGAAAACCTCATAACCTAGTGACTGTTTGTCGGTTCTAAGATGAAAGCTTATCCAATATCAGTTAATTAGGTGTACCAAACAGTCATTAAGCAAAGAAGAATCAAATATCTTACCCATAGGCACAATGGCGCAATTCCCACTTTTTTCCCCCTTCAAATTTCTCCTTTCAGCTTGATGCTTTATTTTTGACTTGTCACGAAAGTTTATCATATGTGTTTTTACATTTTGCCAGTTTAAGCATTCAAAAGATTTTACCCATTTAAGTGCAGGAAATCACAAAAGATAAAACTAAATTCAGGACTGGAGCACCGTTTTCTGTGTGCGCACACACCCAAAGCACAATAGAGAGCCTAGTCTCAGACAGCAAGTGCCAAAAGGCGGTAGAGGCGATTGCCTAGGGCCCGCGGCAGCGAGGTTGTCGATAAAATTTTTAGGTGTGTTCAGCTGGAAGCGTATGCCTGTGTATTAGGGATTTCCTGGAACGTCATATGATTTATGGCTTCTTTGAGTTATGGATTTTGCACTTATGCACTAAGTTTTTCTCCAGTGTAGATGAGTTTTTTTTCTATCTCTCAGTGAATGTATAAGATTTCCTGATAAAAAATTTTGATTTTTTTTTGTCAAAGATTTTTAATCATAATTTATTTTATAATAAATCCTTAGACCTTTCTAAACATTTATAGGTATAGGCCTCCTACATGTTAACAGGTCATGCTGCAGTTTTATGTATATATTGATAATAATCATTATCAATAATTATTGTTTTGTTTAACAATAATCAGAATTAGTCATATTGATATATAATAAAAAACATTTTTGGCCAAATAGTGCAGCCCTAAAAACAGGCACAACAAACTCAGTGTTCTTTATCATTTTTGGTAAATAAAGAAAAAGTTAGTCTGAAAACCTTTCTTGGTACAATTCAGATTTTGTTGTTACAGTTCAGATTTTGGAATTCACTTAATAGTGCCTTTCAGAATAGTCATCTCATAACGCAAGTCTTGTTACACATTGATGCTATTTTTTATTTATTTGAAATGAAACAATGATAGAGAGATTGATCATTCATGATCGAAAGTGAAGTTGTGGTTTAAATGGAATCCAAACGGTATCTTTCCGGAGCCGAAAAAGGATGTTTTGACTGCTACATTATATTTATTGCTGTAGTAGGCTATTAGTACTTGTTTTATAAATGTAATGATGCCCCTGTCATGATCACAGACAGACTTGTCATATGAGGAAAAATTGTGCCACATTTAGTGTGTTACATTAAATAATTTCTCTTTTTTTGGGGGGGGGGGG